ATATACTAGACTCTTATACTAGATATGTTTTGGTCAAACTCAAACATTTAAACTTTAACAATTATAACCTTGTTTTAGAAAATGTAGAGGATGGGTTTTTTTATAAACTGTAATGTCATAATTTAAAAAAAAAATTAAATTGAATCAAGAAAACCCATTGCTAACACTAACTGATGTTTATGTTGTTATTTTCCACCAAAACTGATGTCACTTCCTGGAAGATGATGCAAAGTCAAGATCTGCTTTTGTTAAAAGGACACTGCAAAAAATTAATAGGATTTTAAAAAGTGAAGTTAAAGGAGTAGTTCACTTTTGAAAAAACTTTTGCTGATATTTTACTCACCCCCATGTCATCCAAGATGTCCATGTATTTCTTATTCAGTCGAAAAGAAATTAAGGTTTTTGATAAAAACATTCCAGGATTTTTTTTTTCATATTATAATGGACTTCAATGGGAACCAAACGGTTCAAGGTCCAAATGAGTTTCAGTGCAGCTTCAAAGGGCTTTAAACAACACCAGACAATGAATAAGGGTCTTATCAAGCGAAACGATCGGTCATTTCAAAAAAGTAAATAAAAAGTTTAAGTTTTATAAGCACAAATGGTCGCCTTGCTCTGTTCTGTGATGAGCGTTCGTGACTCTCCTGTTCAAACGCATTCGTCAAAATGAACAAATCTTTTTCCTAGATCTTAGATAAGACCCTTATTCATCGTCTGATGTTGTTTGAAGCCCTTTTGAAGCTGCACTGAAACTGTCATTTGGTTCCCAATGAAGTCCATTATATGGAGAAAATCCTGGAATGTTTTCATCAAAAACCTTCATTTCTTTTCAACTGAAGAAAGAAAGACATGGACATCTTGGATGACATGGGGGTGAGTAAATTATCAGCAAAAGTTTTTTTTAAAAAGTGAACTACTCCTTTAAGAACACAGGAAAACCCTACATGATTATGAATTAAAACAATATGCAAAAGAAAAGATGTTCAATAGATTTTGATTAGAGTCAAATGAAGTCAATGCTTAGCAGCCAGTGAGCAAAAATCATCTCAATCCACAATACTGAATAAAATAAAATTATATATTTATATTTAATTCCACATTAACATATATGATGAGGATATGAAACCATAATATAAGATGTTGGCGACTTCATAACAAAACTGTACACACAGTCGTGGTGATAGAATAGAGAGATGAAGTAATCCTTAGAGAGAGAGAAAATTTGAAATTGAGTAAGAGGCAAAAGTGAGGAGGAGTGTTTGTGTGTGTGTGTGTGTATCTGGCCGTAGTGGAGCCCGGTCCCTAAAGTCTGCATGCTGTCAGTGTGAGTGGCCTTATCTTCCCCAAACATTTACTTAACCCTTTGTCTTACAGGGTCCAGCACAATGAGACACAGCCAGAGGAATCCCAGCGGGACTTCAGATGGACAGGCCTGCCGCTCACTGATACACTCACAGTCACACTGACTGCAGTCTAATCGGCACATATTAAAGTGACATCACAGCGATAACTACAGCTCACCAACCTCGCTTCTCTTTTAATGACATCATTGAAATCTTGCTTTATCCTCATCCTTTTCATTTAAATGATAACAGCAGCTGACAGACAGAAAAGTCTTGCCAATCAACTCCGGCACATAAAACAATTTCCGTACAATGAACTAAAAGAACTATTGCGTAAATGCTCTTCTGTCGTTTAATGCAGCATTAGTGAATAAGGTCTAGATTCAGGCCGTTTTTCTGAGGTAACAGTGAAGTGTGCTGTAAATACCTTCCTGTTATCTGAGCATGTGTTAAACCCTAGGTTCAGAAGAATGCAGCAGTCGGCCTTTGTCTCTGCGTCCACATCATCAGGACAGGAGGCCGTCAGAGAGGAGCTTATCAAACCCTACAAATACCATTACAGTGAGAGAGAGAGAGAGAGAGAGAGAGAGAGAGAGAGAGAGAGAGATCCATACCTTTCAGACAAACATTTCTCCATGAGACTTTCAACCTTCCTTTTCCCTAAGCCTAATCTGAGAATGTTTTAAAATATTTTCTCAGTCCATTTTGACGGAAAATGTTCATTGTTCGTTCATGTCAGTTCACTGTGAATGAACTGATGTATACAACTTTTGACTTTAAAAATGTATTAGTAAATGTTGAAAATAACATTAAAGGAGTAGTTCACCCAGATTAAAGGAGTAGCTCACAGTAGTCCCCCATGTCATCCAAGATGTCCATGTCTTTCTTTCTTCAGTCGAAAAGAAATTACGATTTTTGATGAAAACATTCCAGGATTTTTCTCCATATAATGGTCTTCAATGGGAACCAAAAGGTTCAAGGTCCAAAAGAGAGTTTCAGTGCAAACTGCAAACTGTTCAAAGGGCTTTAAATGATTCCAGACGATGAATAAGGGTCTTATCAAGCGAAACGATCGCTCATTAAAAAAAAAAAGAATAACAAAGTTTAAGTTTTATAAGCTCAAATGCTCAGCAGCAGCTTGCTCTGTTCTGTGATACACATTCGTGAATCTCCTGTTCGAAATCTTTTTCCGAGTCAATTCGTTCATTTCATTCGTTGAATGAACCAAATGACTTGAGAAAAGATTTGTTTTTTTGATTTTGATAAACGAGTTCAAACAGGAGAGTCACACAGAACAGAGCAAGGTGAGCATTTGAGCTTATAAAACTTCCAAGACTAAATGAGCGATCGTTTTGCTTGATAAGACCCTTATTCTTCATCTGGAAAAGCCCTTTGAACAGTTTGCACTGAAACTGTCTTTTGGACCTTGAACCGTTTGGTTCCCAATGAGGTCCATTATATGGTTAAAATCCTGGAATGTTTTCATCAAAAACCTTTTTTTTTTTTTTGCTTTTAGTTTTTGCTAAATCACCTGAAATAAGGTCTGTGGTGAACAAAGCCTCTAAATATTTTCACGTTTTGATCTAAGACATAGAACACAGTTATAACCTGCTTGTGGTTTTTTTAAACTTTATTGTGTCTGATTGTGTTTTTTTTAAAAAAAGCTTTATATAGGCTTCAAAATGTATAAATTTTGTATACATTTTGCGATTTTACAAAAGTGTATGGGGAAAATGCATAGCTTTTCGATTGAGGGATCCCATGCGCCGCTAACTTCCGAGTTGTCCTACAAAGTGACGTAATCACTTCGGCACTCTATACACTGTAAGAGCTCGAATCGGTACGATAGGCAGTGATGTAGTGTTTGTGTGTTAGGGGTTGGGTTGTGTGTTATATGTGTGTGTGTGTGTGGGGGGGGGGGTAGTGAGAGACAAAGAGACAGAGGACAGAGAGAGAATTCAGTATTAAAGTACTTCCAGCTCTCTATCCACTCCCCCACATAATCAAACAAATCATGATTACAAATATTTCAAGGTCTAGAGTCACTTCTATAAATCTGGAGGGCTCTCTTGAAGATGTAGACACACACACACTTACTTTCAGCCAACTTCTTTTGGATTTAACCCACCAGAATATATGTGTCTTTGGCTTTCTCTCTGGCTCCCTGTGTCTGCCGTGTTCTTACAGTAAAATAAATAGGCTGCATCTATCTGCAAAGTGCAGCGGAGGTTCTGAAAACAGGGTTATCCAAAGTGCATGTTCAGAAGCAGCGAGAGAGAGAGAGAGACAACAGTATGAGAAAGGGTGAGAGATTAACCCGAATGGAGGAACATGAGAAACAGACAGACAAAGAGAAAAGAAATAGATAGACAGACAGAGACAGGAACATAAGGAAATCCTGCGTGGAGACGATGAAGAGGGGAGAGGGGAGATAATGAAAGAGAAGGCAAAAAAAGAGAGAGAAAAGAATTCCACATGTGCAGCAGGCCCTTGTCTTTACGATGGCTATGATTATAATTTAGTGCTGCTGTTTCAGGGCTGACATCATCAGTGCCGCACCAATCAGATGGCACAGAGTCTATAAATTAATGAGTGGGCTAGAGTTCAGCTGACCGGGGCAGGGTCAAAGTTCATTCCACTCATGAAAACCTTTCTAATGGAATGTGACTATGCAAAAATCAGCCCTGACAAAACGTGCTTTGTGATCGTGTTTGTATGTTTGTAGCTTTCACGTGTCTTGTGATCATGGATATTTGACTAGCAAGTCATTATACCCATAACACACATGCACAAACACATTAACCACAATTGGTACATATAATATTTAAAGGGTCCATCATGAATGTATAATTAATCATTTTATTTAGCAATGAAAAGTGACGATGAAGGGATTTATACTGTAATTTAAATAAATGATCTATTTCTATTCATCAAAGAATCCAGAAAAAAAATTGTATCTCAGTTTCCCGGAAATATTACGCAGCACAACCATTTTTTTAAGATTAATAATAAAAGAAAATGTTTTTAAGCACCTAATCATCATATTAGAATCATGTGACACTGAAGACAGGAGTAATGATGCTGAAAATTCAGCTTTGATCACAGGAATAAAATACATTTTAAAATGCATCACAATAAAAAAACAGTTGTTTTAAATTGTAATACTTTGTCACAATATTACTGTTTTATTTTTTTATATACGGAAACTATTTACTGACTTCAGACTTTTGAACGGTAGGTTATATAACATTATTTTTGTTTGGTTGATAATTAATAAATCAGGGATTGAATGGCTGTATTATTAACGTAAATTATTTGATTTGCTTATTGATTGACACATTTACTGTATTATTTACTAGATACACAGAGACATTGAAGATTATAATTTATGTTTTTTATGAAGTGTGCGTGAATGTGTGGTATCTTTTGGCATACTCAGTCACTGATTGCCCAAATGGTTATTATCTCCAGATTTATTAAGCAGTAAAATAATGAGGCAGGAATGAAAGTGCTCAGAGTACAGGAAACATTGATGAACTCTAATGAGGTGTATATATACATCACATTTACATTAGAGGTGCCTTATGTGTGAAACTAGTACATACTGTATGTTTGAGTGTGCATGTGAGATCATGAACCCATAGGGGGTGTGCTTACCTGACTTGATTGACAGGCTGATGGTGTTGTGTATGTTACTAGCTGTGTTGACTCCTGCTCCCCGCTGGAGGCCGACATCAAGAATAACACACACCTCGGCAACGTCTCTCACCCTGCATGAAATGCCTGGCACTTTGGAGACGAGAAGGCGAGAGAGAGAGAGCAGTCCTGGGCCTCATCACTCCACACTTCACCTGAGGAGACAGAAAAGAAGACAGACAGACAGACGGACACACACTGAGAGGGCGACACAGAGGACATTACTTACAACAGGGTCATAGTGTGGCACAGGGTCTCAACAGCCTAATGAACACAACTTAGACACTATAATATGCAAATGCGTAAGAATGATTGGAAACCGAGCATATTCAGGTTCGAATGCACTTAGAATTGAATGCAATTATGTTCCAACTAAGATTGTTTGAAGATTAAAAATTCTGTGAACGTTCTGGAAAAGATGCTGGATGCTGTCTCCCTAACAATTATGCAAAATACAGTCTTTGCCATCAGAACTGACATGTAAAATTAAGACTCGCAACCATAAAATCATAAACATTCAACTTACAAAAAAACCCAGATGCAGAAGCCAAACATGTTGGCTACAAAATGTAAAAGTAAACTGTTTTTTGTCCATAATATCCGTTCCCACTGTTCGTCATCTAAAGCATCAATCTATCACTTCAGGCTCATGTCCTCTCCTCCCCATCCCTTCACGCCTCTCCCTGATTCTGTCCATCTCTCTGGAGCGGAGGAGAGCGGGAGGGATGCTGGGGGCTGGGAAAACCTGGACTTGACCCCTGAGTTCTGGGCTCCACGGAGTCTCCTTACCAAACCTCCCTGATGACAGATGAATAGACACACACACACACACACCACATAGCTTATACACACACAATACCACAACTTTGGTATTTTATTTTTTTTTGGGTATTTATCTCACTGGCTTGTTACAAGCAGATTCAATGGGTCTTTTTTTGCCAAGTACTTATTCAGGGTTCAAAGTTGAAGGGGAGGTGAAGCTACTAGCCTCGAGGAAACATCGAGGCTATTTAGAAATGTAAAAACAGAGAGATGTCCATTTCATAAACACATCACAATAAATTGAGACTTCGCCATTAACATGCCACCTTTTCGTGACAAAACACAATAAATACACGGTTTGCATACAATATACCTGCAAAGCGAGCTGCCAAAGTGTGAAGTCTGTTAACGGAGCTTTACCGGGAGGTGTGAGCCAAATAAACAGCGAGGCATCGTAAATTACGGCCTGAGAGATGGCGCTGACATGGGGGAGGAGGGGCGCATTGATTGTAGACGTAGATGGAGTTTTTTCTTTCTCTTTACCTACCCCTCAACTTTTTTCCCCTTCCTGACTCTTTTTCCACGGCAAGGAAACGATCTTGCTCCCGGCCACGGAAGTCATCGCTCTCAGACGTCTCCGTCTCGTTTACAATGCTATTTTCCTTCTTATTTTGGCATTTTCCTCGTCGGTCTGGTTATTTGTTGCCACTTATTTTTTGTCCATTCACGGACAAACTTAGAGAATGAATAACTTGTCTTAGAGAATGAAGCTAAGTTTAGTAACGCCCACCTCTAATAATACCCATGTGAAATGGCATTAATTCCCATAACAGGAAAAATCCACGAGGACACACACGCGCACAGCCCCTCCCAAATATTCCACTTAACGTCACCTTCACACACACACACACACTCAAGAAATGGCAAGCTAAAAGTTATGGTACTCAAGTTAGTAGGCCTACTAACTAGCCGACTAGTAGCCTAACTTGTTTTCTTTGTACCACCAATTTAATTTACGGGTAGGACTAAGTAATAAAAGCGTCACTATATGACGCCCCAGGATGATAATGCGTTGTAAGACCAGTAACCAACATTTTTTCAATTTCTCTAGTAGCCTAAATCTTCATTAGTAGTATGACTATAACTCATTCATTGGATGAAAGGCTACTTATCGAATTGTGACTAGGCTATATTGTTTTGCTATTGGTCATTTAAAAATGTGCACAATGGAGAATTGTACTTGAAAATATTTATTAAAAATGTTATTATAAATAATTAGAATGTAAAATACAAATATTAATATTTTTATAGACTAGTAGGCATAGTGATCTGCAGCAAAATGAATAGTTGGAAGAAAAATATTCAGTTAGTTATAGTGAAATCGAATATACTGTAGTCACTACACATTCATTTACAATTAAAAATATAAATGTTAAAATCACTTTCCATATTCAAGACAGGGATAATTGGTAAAACATATACCCATGCTTGTGGACATTAGGGTTTAAATGGCCTAAAGTTAATACAGATTTGTATTTTTGAGCTTATTTTGCTTATTTTGAGCTTATTCGCAAATTTTGCTCATAGCTTCCATTTTACATTGTCTTGCAATCTGTTGCAAAATAAATAAATAATTAAAACAGAGAAAAGCTGGCAAAACTGATTTTAATAATATTAGCTAAAATGACATGCACCATATGCAAACATCCAAGCAATGAACTTCACATATTTTCTTTAATAAATCATAAATTTAATGTCATTTATGATTTCAAACATGTTAATGAGTAACTCACTGTTGACTGTGACCGTGTCACAGGCAGTGAGTATTTGATGCCTCTAATGAAGCTGACTATTAGCCAGGTGTGTGTCCGGAAAAGTGTGTGTGCACGTGTGTGTGTGTGTGCAAACACCAAAACTGAACACCTGCCCTACTTTGTAAATGTGAACAGTGTAGTTGCAGTAGCTTGTGAGCATGTTCTTGCATTAGATTTGAGTGTGTGTGCATGTGCCATTTTGCTGTGATAATTATGTACATAGATGTACTTTGTTTTATGGGCCTTTGGTTGTAACACAACCTTTGGCCTGTGCACACCTTGACCTTTGGATGGGCGGGGTCACCCTCTTGTTTTCGTGAGTGCATGAGGGGAGAGGGACTCTCCTTTAATCACTCTGTCTTCTAGGACACATCCAAACAGGGACTGGAAATTATTTATTTATTTTTACTACATTGACAAAGTTCACCCAAAAATGAAAATGTACCATGATTTACTCACCCTGATGTAATGTCAAACCTGTATGACTTCTGTTCTTTCTTTTACATACCTAAACTTAGTGATTTGTTTTGTTTTGTTTGGGATTTGAATTTTGAGGTGAAATATAAGTAATAATATTGAGCATGCTGTTATTTCATCTGAGATTAGGGTTAATTCAAATTATTAGTATTATTATGGTTGCCCCATAAAGAATGGAATCATTATCCTCTGATTTGGACCATTTGTCCCAGTTACTCTGTATTCTTCCAGAATGCAAAAGGTGGGGCCATATTCAAGAACAGAGTCCTCAATTACAATATAATAGGAGTCCTGTGGTGAACCCCCAAGAGCTACTAACACAAACACACTAGTGCCAGTGACAGTGTGTGTCTTAGGGAATTCAGGGGTGTTTTTTTTAGTTGCAGGGGGCCTATAAGGCAGTCAGTTGTTGTAATGCTGTGAAGAAAGAGAGACAGCAAGAGAAAGAAAGCTTTGGCAGTCCTAATAGTTCACATATAGCTTAAAGTACACAGGGCACCTCTAAGGTCATTTTACTGATAGTGCGTTCTGAGAGCCAGAGGCGTTGGTGTTCTTTGAGAACTGCAGACTGGCAAAAATAATGACGCAATGAGAACCGCTGCTTGATCCTTTTTGTTCACCTCTAGTAGTACACAACGACAGAGTTTGAGAAAAATCCTCTCTTGAGCATTTCCGAATGAAGACATAAGCTGGATACACCTTTGGAGCAAGACTCATTATTGTTGCTGCATTATTGTTGATTCTCTCTTTCTCCCCCACACTTGGCTTGTTCTCTGGCCCAGGCCTTTTAGTGGGGTCATTTGAGAACACATTGCAGTTTTAGTGTGTCCCGGCACTGGCATCTCTGGCAGCTTTGCTATCTGACGGCTCATTCTGAGGAAATCCCCAACACAAACTGCACTGACTTGTACACAAGTGCACACAGGTGAACAAAAACGAAGCAGGCTCAGATAATTTTTTTATAGTTTTAAATCTTGATCTCAGTGGATGCAGTCATTTGAAATGATTCACAGAGATGTTGTAATACGTGTAAGAATATAATGTACCTCATATACCACTGAGGTTTATGATTGACAGCATTGTAGCCAATTAATTTTATCTTGCGTACTATTGAGTGTGTTTGTGCAGGCAGAACTCGGTGGTTAAAAAAAGTTATGTTTTAAATCTGTAATTTAAATTTTTATTTTATATGTGTTAGACCCTGGACCACAAAACCAGTCACAAGTCGCAATGTATATTTGTGGCAATAGCCAACACATTGTATGGGTCAAAATGATCTATTTTTTCTTTTATGCTAGAAATCATTAGGATATTGAAGTAAAAGATTATATCCTATAAAGCTATTTTGTAAATGTGTACACATTTTTATAAAAAAAATATATATTTGTGAGTGGAAGCAGCAAAATTGTGAAAATGAATGGACAACTTTAAACGTGATTTTCTCAATGTTTAGATTTGTTTGCACCCTCACCTCAGATTCCACATTTTCTCGGGCAAATATTATCCTTTCCTAACAAACCACACATCAACGGAAAGCTTATTCAGTCAGCTTTCAGATTATGTATAAATCTCATGTTCAAAAAATTGACCCATGTGACTGTTTTTTTGGTCCAGGGCCACACACACACACACATATATATATATATGGTATATATTAATTATTTTATTAAGCAAGGACAAATTTGTAGCATAGGCTACATAATAAAAAAAATAATATAAAATACACCAGTTTCCAAACAAAATAATAATAATAATAATAATCAGCCATGAAAAAAATGGCTGCTGAAAATTTAGCTTTGTCACCACAAGAATATTTAGAAAATGTTCATATTTTTACATATAAAACAGTTTGTATTTGTGTTTTTGTAAATTGTAATTATATTTCACACTTTTACTGTTTTACTGTATTTAGATCGAATAAATACATGCAGTTCAGAAACAGTCACTGTAAAAAAATATTTTCATGATTTGTAATCACATCATTTTTTCTTTTGTCAAATCAACTTAAATAATTTATGTAGTTCAGATAACATAATATTTTGAGTTTCTGATGATTAAATCATTCTCCTTCATTGTATTAACTCAATTTTTCCAGTTCAATGAACTTAAATTTTTAAGGCAACCAGGTTACTTAATTTTTTAAGTTAAACCAACAATATTTTTTTTTTACAGTGATTCATAAAAATATATATATTTATTTGGAAAACAAATCAATACTGATAAAGAAAGTGATCTTTAGCAATCTAAAGTTTAAAATAAAGCCTGGGTTTTATAGCCATTTTAGTTGGAGCCAACCCCAGAACTCCCAGAAGCCAATATTCTGGTGATTTTTGCAGCATGTCAGATGCGGTTACAGACACAGTCCCAAATCTGTACAGCCATTCATCACGTTGTGACATGCACACTTTTACATTCACAAAGCAACAATCCTTCAGTCCACTGTCACGCTGAAGGATGAATCGTCACCCCCTCCATAACTTCCTTCATGGTCAGAACTGCTCTACAATATCCTGTTGTTTAGCGCAATGCAGAGAAAATGAATGGAGGGTGACCCTGGGAAAAATCTGTCTTTGCCTCAGAAACGCTCAAATGAAAGAGAAAATGTTGAAAATGGAAAACTGTCTTAACCTCAAGCATTTCTGAAACCATCACGGTCTGTCCGTGACCTTTGGAGATGTGAAATTATCTTTAAATAATGATGGAAAATCATGGAATCTCCAGGACATATTTGAAACATTTAATCACAAACACAATAGCCAGTCACTTGTTAACTTTTTAATGTCAGAGCAGGCTCTTTTCCTATGGCTTGCCCCTCTGATGAAGACTGTCTGAGGAGAACTGGATGCGTTTCAATGATTCAGAGTGATAACTTTCTTACAAAGCATACTTGCTCTGCCCAAGCTCACCACACCTTCATTTCAGAAGAGACAATTATTCGGCGAGTTGTGTGATGTGATGATGATGATGATGGTATGGCCGTATAAAAACAGTCAATGAAATACTGCTTATAATGCATTACTCATGAGGCTGAGGTTGTGAACCTGATGCAACAGTTTCTTAGTTTCTTGAACCAGCACCTCATCACCTGGGCAACAAAACTAAGACACCACGAGATAAAGCCAGCTAATTCGGCCAATAGCAATAAAGAGGGATGGCGGTGCCTCTCTGTCGCCATGAGGCTGTAAAGCGGGTGGGCTTCATGCTGACGCGCCTGCCAAGAGCCAACATGTTCAAGCCCAACCCAAAACCTTAGCACCATAAAGCCAAGCTGGAACGCAACCTTTGATCGCCAACACTCTGCGGAGAGAGGTACGCTCAGACACCGAGAGTCATTCTGGCAAACACTCAGCAACACCTAGGAGGATACAGGTTGTACAAAGGAACTATATAAAGTCATAAACATCAAAACCTTCAAATGCAATGTCTATATATGGCCCAAGTCTTGGCATTATAAAGTCAGGACATTTTAAAAATTAACAAACCACCTTTGAAAACAAAACAAGTCATGTTTTGTGGGAATGAAGCACAAAAAATAAAACAAACCCAGCTCAAATATTCTGAGATAATCAAGTCAAACAATGTGTATATATCCAACCTGATCTCATGAGGAAATGTGAATTCGTATGATGCGATTCATATGAAAACCTAATTATTAGCTAGTTTGTTAAAATAGTAGTTAATTGCTATAGGATTGTGTTGGTAGGTCAGATTAAAGTTCACAGACACACACTGAAACCATGAATATAAATCCATTGATATCACCCCTCAGCCCCTCAGTATTATACTTCTGCTGAACACAAAAGTAATTTTAAAGAATATATGAGTAAACAAACAGTTGACTTCCATAGTATTTTGTTCTCCATAACTGTCTGGTTACCCCTATTCTATTTGTGTCCAGCCGAAGAAATACATTCATACAGGTTTGAAACAACATGACATTTCATTTTTGGGCGTACTGTCCCTTTAAGGAGAATTTCTACAAACACATGCAGAAACAAAGCAAATGTTTGGCAATTTTATATGCAATAAAACAATGATATAATTCCAATATATATCAACAAAATACAGCAAAATAAATTTAGGTTAACATATTCTGACAAAACAAAACGCAAAATTTCGAACAATTAAAATAAATGTGTGCCTTTTCAAAAATCTTGCTGGAAAGTGAGGGTCATTGCACTTCGGATCATCGGAGGAATACGATACAGCATTAAACAGAGTCTGGAATCAGCAAAAACAACAAGGAAACTTTTAAAAGCCTCATCCAGGCAAAGTATGCGATCTAAAGTCATAGCGACCATAAAGACGCATTCCCTGAAGGATTATGAGGGGAATTATGAGAAAGACTTGTGTGCCTCCACCATCCTTATCTCAACATAAATAATGTATCTTAAAAGTTAATCATTAACATCTAAGCCATGAAACATGTTCAGAAGCCATAAAAAGCATGTTTTTGTGTCCTCCCGATCATCGCTTAAGGAACTTGAGAACTGCGGCTGAGTCGCTGCTTGTCGTCCGCAGTGTTTTGGTGCGGAACTGCATGAATCGGCCGTGTCTCAGACAGATATGCCACGATAAATGGTAGCTCAGATTACAGTCGATCTCTTGCATTCCTAAGCTCCGTCTGTCTACATTTAGGTAAATGTTCTATTAGGTAGATCTTGTTAAAAGTCTTTTCTCCCAGAATGCACTGGGAAGGTTTAGAGAAGGTAGTAGCTCTCAGATCACGCTTGGGACAGCGCGCACCAGGAATTCTGTGGGGCGATTGACGTCGGGGTGTATGTGTAGTCCTCATATTTGATGTCCACATGTGCTGAACTGGCACTGTCCAACTGTGTTGATGACTTAAACAGAACAAAGACAAACACTGTTAGTTGACAAACGCCAAATCTACAGTAAACGATGACAGAATTTTGATCTCGTTTATTTTTAATGTCAATAACTTTGGTGCATTTAAGTCAATAACTGTCATTCTATGGACCAAACAGCTTAAAGGAGTAGTTCACTTTTATAAAAACTTTTGCTGATAATTTACTCACCCCATCATGTCATCCAAGATGTCCACGTATTTCTTTCTTCAGTCGAAAAGAAATTAAGGTTTTTGACGAAAACATTCCAGGATTTTTCTCCATATAATGGACTTTAATGGGAACCAAACAGTTCAAGGTCAAAAAGAGAGTTTCAGTGCAAACTGTTCAAAGGGCTTTAAACGATTCCAGACGATGAATAAGTGTCTTATCAAGCGAAAAATCATTAAAAAAAAAGTTGAAGTTTTATAAGCACAAATGGTCACCTTGCTCTGTTCTGTGATGCGTGTTCGTGACTCTCCTGTTCGAACTCGTTTATCAAAATGAACAAATCTTTTTTTCGTGTCATTTGGTTCATTCAACGAACAAAATGAACGAATTGACTCGGGAAAAGATTCGTTCATTTTGATAAACGAGTTCGAATAGGAGAAATCACAGAACAGAGCAAGGCGAGCATTTGAGCTTATAAAACTTAAACTTTTTTTTTTTTTAATGAGTGATCATTTCACTTGATAAGACACTTATTCACCGTCTGGAATCGTTTAAAGCCCTTTGAACAGTTTGTACTGAAACTGTCTTTTGGACCTTGAACCGTTTGGTTACCAGTAAAGTGCATTATATAGAGAAAAATCCTGGAATGTTTTCATCAAAAACCTTAATTTCTTTTCAACTGAAGAAAGAAAGACATGGACATCTTGGATGACATGGGGGTGAGTAAATTATCAGCAATAGTTTTTATAAAAGTGAACTACCATTTTTAAAAATATCTTATTTTGTGTTCCACATAAGAAAGTAAGTCATACAGGTTTGGAACGACAGGAGGGCTAGGGCTAGTAATGATTTACGTGAATGATCCTTTTAAATCAATGTTCCAAATGGGGATTTTCTTAAAATAACTTTTTTTTCCCCTTAGTGTGAAGAACATTTTAATAGTCTGAAGAATCTATTTTCCAATATAAATAACCTATTGTGCAATGGAAAGGTTCTATGGAGCCATTGATGCCAATAAAGAATGTTTCTTTTTAAGAGTGAACTTAAACTCCGGAATCAATCATTTAGCCAACCCAAATTTAATAACTGGCTTTCATTGATGGTGACATCTACAAAGAAAAAACACACTCCTATCAATCACTTGAGTGCATACCTGTGTGATTGAGACAACAGTTTGGCCCGCATACGGAGAAGCTGCGATATTGGGTTCGCTCTTTATTGTAGAGGCGTTCTCTGACACAGGCAATGAAGTGGGAGACGTAGCGCCAGACACTGTTGACCCTGAAGACAAATAGAACAAATTGTGAATGACAGACACAATAAAAGATCAGCAAACTCGACATGCTGGTTATTGCAAATGACAATTAATGGTGTTAAACATCCATTTGTGTTTGTGCTGGTGCCACATCCGCACCACATGTCCATTGATAACAGAAAAAAGTGCTGTTACTGCTCTCTCTCTCTCTCTTTCACTCCCTTTCCCCTCCCTTTACTCTCTCGCTCACCCCATATTTCTCTCCACACATTCTCTGACTCACTCACTCCCCCACTTCCATCCAAATCATTCATGTCCGCTTTTGTCTAAAAATCTTTTTCAAAAATGTCTCTTTTAAAATGTTTTACTCCACTCTTACCTGAGGATGCTTTGGTTTTGGGCATCTTTGGTTTGCGTTTCCTTGTCTGAATGCTTTCTTTCTTCATTGCTAATGGCCTTGGTACCTAAAACAAGAGTAAAGGAAAAAAAAAGAATCGAATTTAACGACTGATTATTCATTTACCATTCAAGAGTCGCAAAGAGTTAAAAATGAGTTGGTGGTTCAGGCACTCTTTAAAAATAAAGGTTCATAACTGGCATCAATGGTTCCATGAAGAACACCTTTTCTTTGCGCAAACGGTTCTTTACAGAGGAAAAAGGTTCAATTTTGTTCCTCACTCTAATAAAAAAAAGGTTCTTTTAAGAAATGATCACTGAAAAGTTTTTTTGGTGAAACCAAAGATGGTTATTCAAAGGCATCACTGCAAAAAAAAAAAAAAAAAGTTTCAAGAGTGAATGAAGACTATTATAATGGTGATTGAACTCAGTTGGGAATATGGGTCTTGTTGTTTAAAAAAATGTAACTATAAATTGTAAATAGATATTTTTTACCGTGAGTTTTTTACCGTTTAAGTTTACAGAACAAAGATTATTTAAACGACTCCCCTTCCTCTCTTCATTCACATTCTCTTCCGATAAAACACACCTATGACCTCTGCATCACGTGGACTCACACAAGCAAACATGCACACGCACCCTCCCAAATGGAGCTGTGGTTAGAAACAGCGGTCTGAATCCCACACTCACCCCGTGAAGCTTCATGTACAGTCCGCAGGCGTTGCAGACAGGCTCTCCCTCTGCATTTCTCCTCCACAGTGTGGTTGTACTGGTGTGGCAGTTAGTGCAGCAAAGACCTGCTCGTCGCGACGTGCTTTGCTGCAGAGAAAAATAGTTGAGAAAGCGGTTAAATTGGCGGACATTGAAAGAATCTTACAGAGTAGTAGTCTTAAAGAGAGAGGGAATGAGAGAAAAATACATGTTCTTGCTTATGTTCATTTAGTGGTATATGTTGTAATACAAATATTTTGCTGTTAAAAATATAATGCAGTAGCTAAGTTTAGTGTAAACATGCACTGTAAAAATTATGTATATATGATCAATAAGTTTTGACAACATATGTTTTTGCATTGCTTTAACTCTTTATAAGTTAAGCAATTTTAAGCAAATTTGATTAGATATACAAGATTTAACTCATTTTTAAGCCAGTTTAATGTACTTTAAGTTGAAATGAATTTGACATCCATGTTGAACGTACTTAAAAATTTAAGGCAGCAACTTTTCACTGCGGTAAAAGACAAAAAAAAAAAAAAAAAACTCTGTGAGCAGGTCTTCCAAGCATCACTTTATGAATTCAAATTAGGATTTTACTGGCACATATTACTATTCTTCTAGAGTAAGAATGAAACTCAAAGCTCCATAAAGTTTGGTGTTGTTTTGAGTTTTTGCGCTGCTTGGGCTAAAAACAGTCCGACCCAAGGACAAGGTCATGAAAGCAAAAATGAAAACAGAGAGGTAGAGTCGAGTGAGAGAATTGTGTGTGAGAGAGTATAAAAAGAGAATGAGTGAGAGAGAGAGAGAGAGATTCCTGGGAAAAAGGACAGCAGTGAAGGCTTGCTCAATTGGCCTTCCCAGTCCTGACCCTGAAATCAACCCACTACCTCTCCTATATATAAGCAAAAATAATTTCATTTTATGAGACTATTTTGTAAAAGTAACTACAAAAAACCTGCAAAAAAAAAAAAGTGTTTATATATTGTCTGGGAACATCAGGATATTTTGTATACTAGCATATTCATGATAAAAAAATCTGGTAACACTTTTTTAAATTACATATTTAATTGCCGAGTAATATTAATTAACATAATGTACTATTACTATAGGGTCAGGGTAGGATTAGGGTTTGGTTAAGGGTTAGTTACATGTAATTATGCATATTTTACTGTTATTACCATGGTAATTACATGTAACATGACAAGGAAACTGTAAAATAAAGTGTTACCAAAAATCTAAATCGACTGCTAACATTCAAGTAAAAAAACGTTATTTGATATGATTGAATCAATCTGATTATTTCAGGCCAAACCAAAGAAAGTCATTTAATTAAGGGTCCATAGGTCAGGTAGAAAAAAAAATTGGTTAGGTAGCGTCTACAGGTGTCCATGCATTTAAAAGTGTTGGTTTTGAAATGGGCCTTTAAAAACAAATAACTAACAATGATTAAGAAATGTGCATGTACCAGGCGTTTCTGTGGTTTGATTAGAGGTCGGTTGATGCCGTTCATCTTGTGGTAGAGTCCGCAGGCGTTGCACAGGTAATGTCCGGTCCCGTCTCTCCTCCACAGCGGCGTCGAGATGGAGCCACAGTTCACACATTCGCGCCCTTCACACGGCAGGTCGTCCAGCATGTCTGAAAGGACATGTAGTTCGTTTTCAATTCATTGGCCAAGAGTTTCTTCAAGGTTCAAAGTGATTTATGAAGGGACAATGTTCGTTAAAATCATAAAATAAAGCGCGAGACGAAATAGGCTAGTCGTTAAATTTTAAATGAAGGGAACACTGATGAGGTGCGTTCAATTTGGTCATTTCTGCAATGTCGCCATGTCTCATTTTTCTAAGGCAAATACAATAACCCTAACTGAATAAAACGTCGAAAGTCTTAATGTTTCAGTTGAATGTCAAAAAAGCTGGGATCAGAAATCCGTTTCAATTTTAAAGCGATGACTAGGCTTAGCCTATTCAAACATTTTCAAATATGTTGAAGCCTTTCAAAAGGTATCACTCACTGTATTTTAAAATACATTCTCTAAAATACAAATATAGCCTAAAGAGATATTCAAATACTAGTTATTATTTTCACATTCAAAATGTTTGTTTGCTAACAGAGCAAGAAAATAACGAAATGAAATAATAAAGTAGAATAGTTCTAAATTAAAAATAAAATGATTGGAATTTGAATGATGCGTCAAGAAAAGGCCAACACAATTATAGTAGTTTTTATTGGTAAAGCCCTGGAAAAACTCAGCACTTTGGATGGATGCAAATAGACCCTTAGGTGAGGCCTGGTGTTTTCTTGAACATCAGCGGTATGGAATGTGACAAAACACTAGACGGAATGAAGAATGGATTAATACGAGCATATCCAGGGTCACTGGAGTCTCTATTAGGGCCTCTGACGAGGCACGAGGGCCTCAAGCGAACGGAATGTCAATGGAGCTCTTATCAGTGTTAAAGATCCAGGGGTCACCAGTCAATCAAGATCTGACACGTGACGCCCTCCAACAATTTATTTCAAATAAGACGTGGCATTAATAATCACTGTAATATTCAGTGTTTTTGTTGTTTCAATTTAATATCATATATTAATATAATAAAATATAACTTATAGGCTACGTTGTTTAGGCCTATCTCTGATGGACTGTTGTAATATAGATTTAGGCTACATGTTTATTAAACAATTGTGGAATACGCAACTGCTCAATATCAAACGCCCGAGCCCTTATGGACGCCCGAATAAATCGTCCACAGTTGAAGAACGAAATGTGACATTTTATGGACTATCAAAGAAAATGTGTCCGCCTAAAGCACTGATCTTCAAAGGGAACGGCCGTTAATGTGTATCTGACTGTAATGGTCTGTTTAGAAAAGTTTGATCAAGGTGACAGTAGCTTGGATAGTTCTCACAATTATGAGGTGCGCACGGGACCCTTTTATCAATCGACATGTGGACAGACAATAGCAGGGAATTAAATTATCATTTAAATTAAAGCGATTGCATTGCCCATTAAAGGATGTGTATTAGTGGAATAAGATCAAGTTTTGTTTTGATTAGCATTTGCAATGTGCCCGTGTAGCCGAACCCAAACTAACTATGCCTTATAACAACGAAGGGTCTAACATAAACACCAAGGCAGCAATAAATAACCCTCAACACCGCCGCAATAAATTGTGAGATCACAGCATCAAACGAAACCCCCTCCATTCCAACCATTTTTGCCTGCTGACTTGAAAGATGGATTTTAAACTATTGCCAAACTAACGACCCAAATGTAATATGGTAGATTTCACTTTAACATGCACTTGTGCAAAAGGATAGTGGCACAGAATCAAAGGCGACAATACATCTTAAATAAAGCGTTAAATAAAGCGGCGCAGACAAAATGACCGTGAAGGTGTTGTTATTTTAGTATGCATACATGTCCCATCAAGGAGAAAACGAAATTGTTGAGGCAATTCATTTTACCTAAACTGGACCTCCTTCCCGGTAGACTTCCCTGGCGTCCCTGAAGACCGATCATGCCGCCATCGAAGGGCCCTGGCGTCCATGAGGTGGCCATCTCCGGGCTCATGTAGGCCGCGTATGGGCTGGAGTAGGAACCCCCGACGGAGCGCACTAGAGCACTTCCATACTGATCTGCCCGGCCGCTATTACTCAACATAAGCGAATTCTGGTACGCGGCGTCCCTGCCGGTGCTGCTGCTCACCGGAGGGCTGTGCGAATAAGAGAAACCGGGCGGAGGATGAGGGCTACCAGGGTTAAAAGAGGAATTCTCCGTGCCAGTCTGTGGCCAGGCGTGGTGACTGCCGAGCCCGTGGGCCTGGTGTGTGGACTCGCAGGTCTGTAGGTAGGGCAAGGTCTGGAGCATGGCAGGTACACGGGTGGTGGGCACGTACACAGGTGAGCTCGCGGACGGGTGGATGTAGTTCCCGGAATCGTGTGCGTATGGGGACGGGTTGGAGGATAAAGCCAGGCTCGAATACATATTGTATCCAATGACTAGGCTATCCTTTCAGATTTTGAAATCTTGAAATTCGCCCAGATTGTAGTAAAAGCCTCGATAACGTCCAAAATCTCCAATGCAACGGTTTCTTGAGCAGCGGCCTCAGGGAAGAAAATAAATTCACTCCTGGTGACAAAACAAAAATAAACCAAATTATTTTTTCAGTATTAGATTAGGGAAAAATAATAAAGTCTATAGCCAATAACAAAAAAAAGTAATGGTAATACTTTTAAATTTAGAATTCGAGAAATTCTTAGCCTACATTTTCCACAGACACACCAACACACACATAATATAGGCTAAAAATAAAAAAAGTTGTTTATTGATATTGATGGATCCATTAAGAACTTTTAACATCCAAAGTTTCTTTATATTATTGTTATTTAGCCTATTATGTTGAAAAATGGCTCATTGAAAATTTGCGAAAACACCTTGGAACGTTTATTTTTGGAGTGTATTTGAACGATGCACTAATAATGCGAGCGTTTATAGACTATAGACTATATATATGCAATTGGAAACAATCAAGATGGACAACCCGTCCAATTGTCATGATTTTTCGATTATCTGTATCTTATTTGTATTTAATAGACTAAAATGACATTAATTACTTTCCATATCTTTACATAGGCATATAAATAATTATCAGCAGCAGTCTCAGATATCTTGGGAAAACACTATACTGAACCCATTAAATCATCTACGGGGATCGAATCAAGCTGGACTGTAATCTCTCCAACATCTATATTTTATCATTGAAAACGCAGATTACATAAAAACGTTGATAGCTGTAAGCAAAGGGCTTAAACAATTTAATCCAAGAGCTCTCGTTGTATTATCTCACCAGATAAGGACGTCTAGAGATAAAGTCAGGAACCCTCTTTTCCAACTGACTTGATTGAATATCGCTGTAGAAGTTCCCCCTCTCTTCTTTCCGTCTTGATTTTAGCCCAGAATTCAAACTTCAACGAGTATGCGATTGACGAAAAAAAGTGTTGTCCTCTGCGTTTCGAGTTGTCACTGTGCCTTGTCTGTATCTGGAGGTATAGCTGCTGCTGCTGCAGATAATGCCTAATATAACTGTTCTCTGATTTGCTCTCTACTTTACTGCGAGTTATTTGTAAGAGCAGAACCACGTGACGCACTCCAAAGGTAGGACCCATGGAGGAGGAGAAGAATGAGTGGGATAGACGGAGGAGGGGTGTTCTCCTACCTGAAGATCTATATTTGCTGAGTCCACTGTATTTTAAACGATTGCATTTAGTCGATGAAAGTTAAATTTTAAGAGACATTAAAAGCAGTTGGGAAATTGCTTTGGTAGAGACACACATCAAACAAGAAAGGTGTAGTATAGAAAAGTCACATATGAGTGGTGTAAAACAGTATGCCATTTTATTTATTTAAAATAAATTTCAAAAGTTTGAAATAAAGGTATTTGGTAGCCTATACTGGGTTAATAGGCACACATGTTTTTGTTGCGCAACTGTAGCTAATAGCTTTTGATTTTGTTTTTACTTTATTGTAAAATAAAAATGTTGCAGTAAAATAACCTTGCTGTCTGTGCGAGAACGTAAAGCTCGATTTTATGACCCGATAAATCTGGATGTGTTCTCTATAAAAGCTGTAGAGAGATAAGAGATACGAGCGACAGCTTAGTATGATGATACAACAATAATCACACTCATTATACTCAGTTGGAAATATTGTTATCTTAGCGGTATTGTTTGAGTTATTATCACCCCTCCCTTTTTTCGGATAAAAATAGCTATTAATGTTTTAAAGATGTAAACAACAATACTTGCAGAAGCTAATGTAAAGATAATCAATTCTAAATTCTTTAAAAAATAATATGGGATGAATGTGACGCACGCTTTAGATTATTTTTAAGGGGAATGATATATTCTGCACAATGAAAATGGCTAAACAATATCGAATAGGGGTTTTACTTCTGTGATAGGCCTATTTAGAAATAAATTTAAGTAGGTAATCAACTGTTGAAAAATTCTCATACATTTTAGAAAGGTGGTCGCCAATCAGTCTCCTCGACAGGCCGCTGATAATGAGATTAATAGTGATGTTGCGACCTGTGATCTCATTGCTCGCGCCACAAGCGCGTGTAGAGGGGGACAGTTGAGCACACACACACACACACACCCTAGGCCAGCGACTGTTTGATCACCGGGAACTTACAAGGCTACAGGGGTTAAATAAATCCTCCTTTACCTCTCAGGCATTTCATTTAGGCTAATCAATGCCGCCTTTACTTGAGTAAATCAGGATTTTCAACTGAAGCCGTTTCGTTTTGTCAATAAATGTGCAAAATTTGGTCATCATCACAAACTTAAAATAAAAAATAAAATAATTTTTTTTTTAATTATTGAGTTAGGTTACAGTAGCCTATATTGTTCTTTTTTTTTTTAATCTAGCTATTTTGCCTATCAACTGACATCTATTGGAATATTGTGAACGATCATGCCACACGCAGTCGCCTTGACAAACAACCAAAGCACCTAATGATGCAGAGAAGAACTGTAAATTCTGTTCTGCGTGAACGGCCACTCGCAATGCCAAGTCTTTTAGTGTGTGTGTGTGTGTGCGCGCGCGCGCGCGCGCGAGCGCCTGTGTAATTGAAATCTCTAGTGTTGTCAAATGTATGTCATGCAGGCTATAGGCTATGTGAAACATTTGGCTAAGGATGATCAGAAGCAACCCGTTCTGTTACAGAACGGGTTGCTTCTGATATTGCATTGTGTAGGCTATTGCATCACACTATGCGTCTTTATAGCACGCAGTGTGTTTATCTTGCAATTTATCCGCTAAAGTGAGTTATTACGATATACGCATGCTGGTTCAGTATTGGTGTGGGGTGCGTGTGTATCAGGGCCGTGCAGAGACCTCTGGAGGGGCAGGTGCTCAAAGTATAAAATGGGGCACATGGAAACAAGGCTTTATAGGGATGTGCTCAAAATATCAATACAGTAATATATCAATACAGATGATTCTGCATCGATACAGCAGCAAATGCATTGATGGAGTTTTGAAAAAGAACCAGAACAGAAAAGACAAATTTAAAGTTTAAAATTAAAAAAAATAATTGATGTGCTCTATATATAACTCTGGGATTAGAAACTGAAGCATCTTAAGTTGTTCCAACCTGATGGCTTTTTCTTCTCTGTTATACAGAATAATAAAGAACAGCAGTAGTGAACTGTGTAGGACAAAATCAACCTGGCCCATGTTTCGTGCAGTACAGTATAGTTTTATTTAATGGCATATCAGCATCTGTGGCTATTTTCATGGCAAAAACTGATTTACAAAAATACAAGAGTTACATTTTATACAATGAAAATAAAAAACAAAGCAAACAGAAACAGCAATTATTAATAATTAAGATTTTTAACATTAATGTGATGCCTGTTCTAAGTGAGTTTGCTGCCTTTGCTGTTGATGTTGTTACTGCTGCTGCTGATACTGCTGGAGTTGATCTGAGACTGTAGACATTAAAATAAAAAGAAATATAGGGTATTAGCTGAATAAACCATTTTTTATGTGACCATGTCAAGATGTAAAGATTGCTGACAGTGTTTGGAACTGGCTCACTAGTTCACTGACCTGCTAAAGCTACAGATTCTGCCCAGGCTGCTAAAGTATATAATACAATAATAGTATATAATAGTAACGTTACTAGGGCAGATGTTCACAGAGGCTTCTGCACACAAAACATAAGATGCTAACTGGTAAGCCTATGTGATAACTTACCAGAGTTGTGATAATCATTTTTATGTGAAAATATTTTTTTAAATAAATACTGTAATAATAATAATAGTTTAAAGTAAAAATAATAGTTTTTAGTCAAATAACACCCCTCCACGCCCGTGAAACTTTTCTCCCTCAAACAGCAAGCTAACGTTACTTCTACAGCCTACACACAGCAATACAAACGACATCTCTCTGCATGCTCTCTTCACGTCGTTCTAGTAAAATAATAATAATAAGTAAACAAACATCAAAATCACTTCGCTGAGAATAAAACACCACTTACCAGCAGCCGCAAGACTTGAAGATATCCTCTGGGAATGCGCGATTGCGCGTAGCCGCGCGAAATTAAAAAATGCGCGTGCAGCGTGAGGAATCAGGTGAAAGGTCATCATGTGGGTCATTTTATTTACGGCTAAATTATTATTCATTCATTTTACTACTAGTTAGATGGGGCAGGCATCCACAAAAGTGCCTTTAAATACAAAAAAAGGAGAGGAAATTTTGTCTTGACAAAAGGGCACTTTGGGCACCAAGGGGCAAAAGGGCAGGTGCTCGAGCACCCAACGCCCCCCCCTCTGCACGTGCCTGGTGTGTATTATACGTTTGGGTAGAATTAGTGGTGTGGGGTGCATAGAGATGCTTTTACGTGAGAACAGGCTGGTGTATGCCTATATTTAATATGAGGCCTGGGAATATAAATGTAAAGACGCGAGAAAACAGCAAATAAAGTGTCATTAATGTGTAGGCTAATTACACACGAACGATGACTAACAATAAATACAATAAAATACGTTGTATTTTCTGGAATTCATTCAAAAACATGAATAGTAGCTATAGCCTACAGTTAAAAATGTTTATAAAAAATGTTTAAAACGCGGATTAAAAATAGATAAATCTGTAGGCCATTAGCTAAACAAAATAAACAATTGTCTCAGTATACAAATGTGTTTGTAAGTAATAATTCGATTGATTATTCTGAGATAAAGAAAGATTGTCTGACAAGTGATACCGAATTAAGTCAGACACTGGAGGACTGTGACGAGAGGATGAGGATGGAAACTTGAGTTATGATTTCACCAAAGACCAATTAGCCTACTTTTATTAATTGACGAATGACTGCTATCCTAATTGATTCAGCATTTCATATTCAGTTAGAGGGCCTTCTTCAACTCAATTTATGTTAAAAGGAAAATAAACTTGCCAGGATCCGTCGAGACCTTGATCAGTCTTTCAGTTCAAAGTAATGTTGGTAGCCTATAAAAATCGTTAGTTTTTGATTTAAAAACAAAACAAAACAAAAACAAAAAAACATTCTGACCCGTTTGCAACATGGCTGACTTTATGAGGTAGAGATCTTGCAACTAATTACACTTGATCCCCTGACACTTTTCTGTCATAACATTTTATTATTAACATGATTTTTATTATTAACATGAAAATTTATCATTAACATATGGAATATTATTATTATCATTATGGCAATTAGAGCAGCACAGGGAGTATCGAAATGTAGGCTATACATCAACATACGAATTGAATAGTCAAATAATAATAATAATAATAATAATAATAATAATAAGGGCAACAATTGAACAATTCTTAAATATTTAGACGGGAAAAAAATAATGTAGGCTATAATTTCAAAGAACAAAGACTAATCAAACGTAATTAGAATTTGTTTTGCATGGTAAAAAAAAAAAAAAAGCTATAGCCTACTTCAGATCTTCAAAATAAGTTAAGCATCTTTCTTAAGTTATACAACATTTAACTTTTTTATTTATTTATTTTTTTGAAATGAAATGACATCCAATTTGATTGCAGTTAGAAATTTTACAGTGTTTCCTTACAAATATCTTACTATCCGTGGTTAGCATATTTTTCACCAAAATAACATCATTTTTGTATTAGCCTACAGTTTTCATTACATTATTACAACATTGTGGTCACTATTATATCGCTTTAAAAGTTACCATGGTAATTTCGGTAAGGATTATTTACATAACCAGAGACTGACCGGGGGGAAGCTCGCGCTGGCGTGATGGACAGCTAATGAGGCTCGCGCGGAGAGGGCCTCACGAGGCACCTCATTCATAAGCGCGCGGTATCAGTCCTCGTGAGAGACAGGCATTAAAGCAAGCCTTAACCCCCAGCGTTTAGTAGCCGCTGAAACACTCACGATGAACCTATTCCAAATCATGAAGGGATCAGCAGGCTTTT